GGAGGACAAGGGGTCACGCAAGGGACGTCGTCGAGTCAAGTTCTATCTCAAGAGAGCTATGTCCAACCCCAACCGACGCAGTCGCACCGGGCGAGGCATCGACCTGCTGCCGATATTGGCAGGCGTAGAAGACGCCGTGTCCGCGACCTCGATGCCAACACCATGCCTGCCGACACCGTGCCTCCCAATACCGTGCCTGAGGAACAAGTAGAAGAAGGTCAAATTTTTTTACTTAACTACAATATGATTTTTAAATTATTTATTTATTTATTTATTGTAAAGTAGAATTTTCGATTTTTCTTAAAACATCATTTATTCGAATACAGAAGAAGCTGCCACGCCCACAGATACAGAAGAAGCTGCCACAGCCTCATCTTCTTTACAGACGTACCAGCGTCGGAAGGGCTCCCGGGAGCGCAGACCTCTGGATCAATTCACTCCTAGCAACTATTAGGAAATTTATGGACATTTTTTTTTCTTGACTTTTTGTGTAATTAAATTAAAACATATTGGTATTTTGAATAAATTATTGTGCTTCAATTTTATTTGTGGATTGATATATTTTGGTTGAATATTTGGTTGTTGAATATTTGGTTGTGGAATTGATTTCGACAAACAGGTGTTCTATTTTATTTCTGTTGTAAAATTATTGTTTCTGTACAGTAAAATTGTTGGTTGTTTGGAATAGGCATAGAAAAGTGTTAAAGGACCGAAAAATGATAAAATCGAGCTGCAGATGGGTCACACGACTCGTGTGAGTAGGTGACACGAGTCGTGTGGCTTCAAGAGAATGATTTTTTTAGTTACGACTTTTTCACACGGGTCGTGTGTCATGTGACACGGGTCGTGTGACGTTACACGACCCGTGTGGTTATGTCGTGTGAGTCTGGGAGTATTTTTTATTTTTTTTAACTGAAAACGTATTTTGTCATAATACGGTTTTCGGAAGGAAACCGTATTCTCAGAATACGTTTTCAATTAAAAAAAAAATCATAAATTTTACTAATTTTTTTTAATTTATAGTATATAAAATTTATTTAAAAAAAACATATATTTAAAATACGTTTTGAATTTAAAGCGTTTTTTGAAAATACGTTTCTTATAAAACGTATTATGAAAGTACATTTTATTTTACATTAATTTTCTTAATCGTGATTTAATTAAGTTAATTATGTTTAAAAATTTATTTCGTTATAAAACGTGACATGATAATACGTTTTCCTTTGGAAACGTATTCTGAGAATACGTTTTACAATTGAAAACGTAATCTCAGTATACGTCTGTTTTATGTTGGTCGACGGCCTTTTTTTTTATTTTTGTCCAGTTAATTTTTTTTTTTGATTTAAATAATAAAATCCACACAATTGAGCAATTTTTTATATATAAAAATAAATTATGTTGGAAAATTTTTATTTGGGAGCTGTAAGATTAGAGAATCGGGGCAAGAGAGGGCGGTCCCACGCATATTAAGTGCACCATAAGAGGGTGAGCCTAGGTGCACCATAGTGAGGTTCCATCTCAAAACCAATTGGTGATGAGAGGAGTAGCCCACTTGGCTTATATGCTAGACTCATTTTTCCTATAGAATCAATATGGGACAACTCACAAGTGATACTCCAACACGCCCCCTCACTTGTGAGTCCTTCATAAGCCCAAGCCCAGAGCAGACCGGGTAGAGATAGAGACCCAAGCCCAAAGCAGGTCGGGTAGAGATAGAAACTCAGGCATGAGTCGGCCTGGCTCTGATACCATGTAAGATTAGAGAATCAAGGCAAGAGGGTGTGATCCCACGCATATTAAGCGCACCATAAGAGGGTGAACCTATGTGCACCATAGTAAGGTTCCATCCCAAAACCAATTGGTGATAGGAGGAGTAGCTCACTTGGCTTATATACTAGACTCATTTTCCCTATAGAATCAATGTGGGACAACTCACAAGTGATACTCCAACACGCCCCCTCACTTTTGAGTCATTCATAAACTCAAGCCCAGAGCAGGCCGGGTAGAGATAGAGACCCTGGCCGGAGTTGGCCGCCCTCACTTGTGAGTCATTCATAAACCCAAGCCCAGAGCAGGCCGGTAGACCCTGGCCGGAGTTGGCCGGGTAGAGAGAGAAATTCAAGAAGGAGTCGGTCTGGCTCTGATATCATGTAAGATTAGAGAATCGGGGCAAGAGAGTGCAGTCCCACGCATATTAAGCGCACCATAAGAGGGTGAGCTTAGGTGCACCATAGTGAGGTTCCATCCTAAAACCAATTGATGATGGGAGGAGGGCTCCCACTTGGCTTATATACTAGACTCATTTTCCCTATAGAATCAATGTGGGACAACTCACAAGTGATACTCCAACAGGAGCGTCTAGAAATTTTAATTTTGGGCGGAAAAGTCAAATGGTAGAATTGCTAGATGAGTAGTATTTATTGTTTTATGAAACTTTTACCTTCGTTACATAAGAAATATTGGTAGGGAATTTAAATATTATTTATATTAAATAGTAATTAAAAATTTTATTATTTAAGTTAAATAATTAAACTTAAACATCATTTACATTAAGGGATGATTAAAAATTGTATTATTTTAATTAAATATTATGGACAAAATGACAGGATCCAATTTATATAAAAAAGAAAATGTGAGTATGTTTACAATAGTACTAATTCATCTACAATCTTGAAAATTAGTATAATGTGAGAAATTTGTATATCCTTTCAAAAACTATGAGATAATACAAATTAAAAAAACTCAATCTATTCAAGTTTGGCACTATATTAAGTGAAATCAACGTTTTCTCCTACCTATTTGTAGCCTAATAAAGTTTTAAAATATATAGTACATTTTCTTTTGTCTCTCGTTTACCGTGAACTAATTAGTAATTTTTTTTTTATTCTTTTTATTAAGTTACAGATTAAATAAGCATTATATGTTAAAAAATTAATTAGAACTGTAATAGATGATTCAAAACTTAAATACAGTGTTATAATCGTCCCCAAGCGCCCGCTAGACGCTCGACCAACGCCTAGACGGGGCCTAGAAATTAAGATTAAATAAATAGTTTATTTTTTAATTTATTTTCTCTACATACAAAATAAGACTATCTCAACTTATAATATATCCACACACATAAGTCAAAATAACAATATTAATATATTCTCACAAAAACATGATAACCAAATAATGTAATTAGTATTTAAAAAAATTGAAACATTGTCGTCGAGTTGCTTGGGCCCGTCGAGCCTGCCTAGCCTCCTGACCAATTTTTTCAGCCGATTCATGCAAATCGAAGATGGTCAGGTGGCGTGTAGACCAACTTTTAGTATAGTGCTTAAAACTATAATCTGAAGATTCGGGTTGGTATGGTTCCGTTCGAATCTTCAGAGGTTTCTTTTTTTTTTTTTTTCTTAATAACTATCGAGTTATATTTTAATTTTTATACGCTTAAAAAAATATTCGTTAATACTTCATCATATTGAAAATTTATTTTGAAATCAACTTTAGAAGTAACTCTGAATTTTAGTTATTTAATTTTTATATGCTTTGAAAGCCCAACATTCATCAATACCCCATCATATTAAAGATTTTATTTTGCAATTACTTCTAAAAACCTCTTTCATACTGTTCGCCTATCCTACATTATCTCTTTGGTTGATCCCCATCTTCGTAAATAGTAATTCTAAATTTTTGTTAAAACTATATTTGTGCAAATAATATTAAAAAATTTAAATTCCAACAAAACATAGTATAGTTTTTTTTTTCTGAAAAGAAATCTTCAACCTTTCATAGCATTTTAAATAATTTTTTTATAACAGGAAAAATTCAATTGTGGATCTAGTATTACTTAGCATGAAATTTAAGTGAAAGGTTAATTGTTATTACTATATTTTTATTTGCATTTTAAAAATTCTCAAATATATAGGATCAAAGTTGACATAAATATATTAATAACAAACATCTAATTTTATAATTTGATTCTTAATTTCGGTTCTTTAGTGGTGGTGTACTAAGACCTGAAAACGACCTGACCATTTTGAACCCATTACAACAGCCATTAGTTAAATGATATATAGGCCACTACTGGTTGTTTGACCAGGTGGGGTGGAAGTCCTATATTGTTCGATCCTCTTATCTTGATTTCTCGAACCGAGAGATCCATGAATCGGGATCCTGATGCCACATCATCTTCATACTCTTGAATACTCTTCTGGAAAGTCTCATGCATCATTTCATATTTTTCTCAATACTCAGTCTTTGTTCGAGTTCCCCAAGCTCAAAAGTATTAAAGTGCTGCAACTTTTGATACGTACTCGTTAGAGATGAGACATCTGCATCTACACATTATAAAACGTATTCATCTTGCAAAAAGAGGAACTCTCGTCTAGACTTATTATCTTTTCGCTTTTTCGCTTTAAGTCTATTGTTATTTTTAGTTTTTAATTTATGTTATAAAAACTGAAAACATCATTTTGTGTTCTATAAATTTTCCATGATGTGTTAGAATTATGTCATTCATTCAACAAAATGAAAGATTTCTCATTGTGTTGAATTATGTCATTCATTCCCCAAAAATGAAACACGAGGAACAAAAGATTTTGTCCCACAAAATCAAAAGATGTTTGCTCCAGGCATAACAGTGAGCGAAGCTGTTTTTTTTTTATTTTTTTTTCGGAACGATAGAGATTCTCATTAAACTAAACAAACCAAAGTTCAAGAACACCAAGCACAGGTGGCCTAGAACAGTGAGTGAAGCTTACTTCATGCCTAATTTGACCACACCAAATTCTTTCTTTGTACAACAAACCATTTCAATAAAACCTTCATGAACTTTATACAAACAGGCTGCCAATTTTCACTCAAAATTCCACTTTCAAAAGGAAAAGATATAAAGAACAGAACATATTAGTTCCCAAATAGATTAGCACACAAACTGGGGCCATAGAATGATCATAAAAATCAACAAGATGTTAACATTCACAACAAATAACCTCTAATAACCCTAACCTTCATCACCATTTAGACCTCCTGACACCTGTTCTCGACTTCGAACCCTTTGTCTGAACCACACCATCTGCATCCTCAACCGTACCATCTAACGGGTCCCTCGATGGCCAAGATTCATCCGCCAGCCTGGAACTCAAACGCACCTGATCCCTGACACCTCTAACCCTCGAATACCTCTGCCTTTCGTCAAAATAACTACTCCTCGGATTTTCCATCTTTGGCTCCCTATCAAGAAACTCCCCATCCGATGCGCTCCTCTGTAGACCACCGTCTCTCCTGGAGCCCGGTCGGCCCGAACACGAGCTTCTACCCTTGACCTCGTTAATCACTTTATTCACGTGGGGCCACTTGCTGTGTTTATCCGCATTCAGCTCGTCCCAGTGGAGGTCGCTTTCCCCCAAGCCATCCTCGACAATTTCATCCTTTCTCGCATGAAGAAAAATTTCAAGCTGTTTCCTCAATTTACTTACAGCTGAATTTTTCTCCTCAAATTGGTGCTTGGCCTCGGTCAACTTCATCTGCACCCTTTCCTCCCTCAGTTTATCAGCCAGCTCGAGCATCTCCCGCTCCTTCTCGACCTCCTCGTGGGCCTTGAAAGATTCCATCTTTATTCTCTCGACCTCGGCCCGGTCCTCGTTGATGTTCCTCGCCAGCTCATCGCACACCTCTTCGGTTTTTTCCCGCACCCGTTTCTCATTTTCCAATTCCTTGACCGCTTTCAAGAAGGAGGATTTGACTTCCAAGAGCTCCTTCCCGAGCTTCTTGTTCAGGCTCTCGAGCCGCCGCCGGAGCTTCCGCTCGGCGTCGAGCTCGGCCACGACGTGGCCGACTGCGGCCTCGACGGCTTGCTTCTCTCTTTTTTTCCAAGAGGCCTTTTCTTCTGCCAAGAGCTTGATGAGGTGGTCGGTTTCGTTCGGGCCGGGCCTGTGCTGGTCTTGGATAAGGTGGTTGACTTGGAGGCGGGCCCGCTCAAGCTCCACGTGGAGGGCAGAGATGAGGGGCACGCTGGAGGACGGCGGGCCTGCACGGGCCCACATGCGGCTGATGATCTTGAGAAGCTCCTTGGAGGTGGTGAGGGCATTGGTTGCGTCCTTCAGGCGGTTTCGGGAGGTGAGGGCCGGGCTAGTCGATGTTGGGGGCCGGGATCGGGTCTCGATCTGCAGTTTCATTATGTGTAGATGTAGTTTACGAAGTGTCTTGTTTGAAATATAAAATGTTGAAAGAGTCCACCGAAAGTTATTGGCGAATACGTAGTAGTAGTAATAGAAGTAGGTGTAGGACTACTCCATGCTTTTGTATTCTTGATTGAAGTGCAAAGAATTATATTTCAGGAAATTTTCAAACATTAGAACTATTCTTGCTCCTCAACCAAAAGCTAAAGATCACTTTTTTTCAAAATGTGTTTGCTAAAACTTCATCACGGCATTTCAAGATTTTGAGGAGTGCATAGTTTTGGCTACTAAGATGGGAAAAAAATGAAAGAATGATAGATAGAAGTAAAATCTGCATTACAGCAAACATATAATTTTACCTCCATCAGACTAGCATTGCTAATGGAGTCAATAGGTCGAACATTTTGATCAGCCATCATGAGCGTATGAGAAATTGATGGCGACCTCCTTCGGTGACTGCCTGTACTTGATCTATCCATTTTCTACAATATCCACAAGAAAGGATCTTTTAGATCACTCTCAATGAAAATATCATAATGCTACATATAAATAAACAAAAGCAAAAAAGTTATAAAATGCAAGAAAATCAATTCGGGTTATCTACAAATCCGCAATGTTACAAATCCACAAGCATTATTACTTTCTTTAAAGATGGAAATCAAAGGTAGAATGCCATATATATCAATCATGTCAGTTATCGGGTTTCTACAAGGTTTCTACAGAATACATGGCCTAATTGATATCAAAGCAAAATCCAACAGAACAGACACATTTTCTCCACTAACTGAAATACAGTACCGAGTGCAATGCACGGCAACCTCAGGTGGATAAACAGGACAAAACCGAACCAAACAACCTTGTTATCTGCAATTATCAATCTCCATTTGAGTAGAAAGGTTATCGAAGACCAGAATTTCCACCCTTACAGCAATCAAAAACAGATTTTCAGAAAGAAAGATTGTGCAGATGATGACCATAGTATTTTCAAATACTGAAAATTGTTCCAACTCATACACAAACATTAATTCATACAACGGGATCATCGAACAAAACGTCATAACAATAACTCGCTCCCGATTGCTGTAAACTTGAAACAATTGAAATCTCATCAAATCAAACCAGATTAAGATAATACGGAGCCAAAAGAAAAGTAAGAACAAAGATGAGACAACCACCACACCTCGGAAGCAGTCGGGCTGTGAGACGGATCTGACAAATGTGGAGGCAATGCACACGAGCCCGAATGCAAGCCCCACCCAGACTGCATTTTCTCCCTCTTGAACACCATCTTACTCCCACTTTTCTTCTGCAGTCCCTTCAAAACACTCAAACCACTCTCGCTCGTTTTCGGCGTCAGATCTTCATTCATCTCCCACAGCGTGGCCGCCAGCCTACGGGCCGAGACGGGCTGGGTCGACCTCCCGCTCTGAGAGTACCTGGGAGACTCAACGGCCGCCCTCAGAGGCGTGGTTCTCCACGTCGGCACAGGAGTAGTGGATCTAGACCTTCCAAGTCCGACCGCCAGCCCGGCCCGATTCTTGCCCGCCATTATGGCCCGCTTGTTCAGTCTGTAATTGTAGACTCTCGACGACGTAGATGAAGAGGAAGAGCAGCCCCTCTTCCGGATCTTGGTCGGGCCCATCAAACCCTCCATTATCGGCCCTCTGTGACCTTTCCTCGACATTGATTGTAAAACTTCACTTGGATCTGTCTAAAGATACCACATTTAGGCTAAGAAACGAAGGATTCAAATTTTTTGAGCAAAAAAGATAAATTTTGAGGTGGGTCTTACAGGATCTTACAGATTTGTTCAGCGGTTTGTCAGAAATTTTGCGACCCACATCATCATTTGCTCCAAGCTCTCGATCTTCTTACCAGTGAAGAAAAAAAAGTGACAGAGATTGAGATGCACATACTAAAATGTAGCCCAAAAAAAAGAGAATTTCAGTGAGTACAAAGTGGGGTTTTTCTTTTCTCTCTCTTTCAGATTCTTCTTACAGCTAGAAACGTGGTTTTCGCATCAGGAATGGATAAGAAATGAAGATAAATAAATCTGTTTAAGGAAAATTGAAAATGGGGAATGAAAGAGGAGTAATTTATATATTTATTAATAAAAAAATAATAAGTGGACAAAACAAAAA